CAGGATTCAAGAGCTAAGCACTTATGTCTACTACAGAATAAGCTCGATACATCTATAAGCAGAGTTAATAAACATTTAAATTTCTGTGTAGTTGATAAAAGCACTTTTCTGATTTGGCTTTGAGTCACCTCTTTCTATACTCTTAGAGTTGAGTAGAAGGACACTGAAATTATTTCCCTAGGCAAAATACAGTGCCCTCCTGATAGAAACATCAGAGGCATAAGAAAAATATGATTAAGTATTGTCTTTGCTATTTTTGCAAATAAAAAAAAAATACAAATAAACTGCAAAACTCATCACCGCATTAACATTTGGCATGGGCTTCTGTGGCATAGCAAATGTAAGGAGGAGAATCTAGAAACAGGTATTGTCGGGGAGATAGGGCTTCTATAGGTTTGAATCTCAACTTGAAAAACTGCAAGGGACACGATTCCTCATTCTGTGACATTGCTGTGTGTTGGTTCCTCTATTTCCTCAAATTCAGGTTCCTAGGTTGTGCCAACTCTCCTGCCAGCTAGTTTCTATGGATACAGTATTTATGGACCTAACAACACAATAAAGACACCATTATCTTTCTTATCCCTTAGAATCTGTGAAGAGAAACGTCTTGTTCTTTATAACTACTACATATTTCAGTGCAGTTCTTATAAGATGCAGAACATATTTAACAATATAACACACATAGTGCAAGTTTGCACTGGTAACCACACATCTGTACAGAATAAGTCTTCACATTTCAGGCCCACAGTTTGCTAAGAAGGTGATCTGATCATATAACTGTTCTTTACTGTTCCATTTGCACAGTGATAACTATGTAATGGAGCACAGCTTCTCAGATATTTTATCACACAGGCCAATTGGAAAATATTCCCAGTGTTTCTCTAATCTTTGACAGTGGACCAATGTCAGCAACAGGCATTTAGACTTTTACTTAAAGTTACATTACTGAATGATTTTTTTTAAATTGCTTCAAAGAAAATGCACATTTATTAATGAAGTAACACAAGAAGAAGAGTAGGAACCAAAAGCTCAGGTGGACTTCAGGTTTAGCATTTCTTGAATTTAGTTTAAGATGTTTTGCCTTATTTTAATTATCATGCCTTCTGATTATTTCATGAAAAATTAATGCACTGGATTGAACCTGTAATATATTTATCAATCGTTGGCAGAATAATCCGTTCCTAAGATATTCTGTTTTAACTGTTTCTGCGTATATTTACCCAACAAACTAGCCCGTTCTGCTAGTGGTGCCATTATTCAAGAATATCAAAGCAAAATTTGAGAGACCAAACAAAGATATCTGTCTTATTGAATTTTACTATTTGGGTACTACTGCGTTCAGATAAATTATTTTTAATTGCAGTTGTGTCTCAGGAACACTCAGCTTTAATTATGAGCTTGATCTGTTAGATTGTCTGGTGCTGCATAAACCTAGAACAAAAAGAGCACCATCACTCACTTCTCTCATCTGCCTTTTCTCAGCTAATCAGTTGCTAATCTTATAGAGACAATGAAATCATTTGTTTTCATTTTTGTTCCCGTAAAACTCATTTCAGCAGTGGGTGGCAGAGTGTATTTTTTTCATCTAAATGAGTAAGGTAAATGCATTTTAGTAGCGACCAGCTTTGTTGCAGCATCTAATTAGATTTCCATTTTGCAAATGTAGGCCTCAGTACTGCAAATACATATGCATGAATGATGTATATAGTCCCACTGAACTCAGGCAGTGGCATCAGGATTTTAAAGTTATCCACATAATTCTAATACTGTAAACTTTTATGACGGGCAATTCTAGGATCCTAAATCTGAAAAATAACACTCTGCCCTTAAGGCTTCAAAATTTTCACTGCCAAAGCTCCCTACGCTTCTGTTAGTTGCTGTGCACTTATCCCCACCCTGCCCCCACCGTTGATGGCACTAAGCAATTTGGTGCCTTATCCATATCAGGATCGTAAGTCTCTGTTGCTGAGACTGAACCTCAAGGTAATTTCGAAATCTGTCATGATGTCTTCTCGTGCTGCTGGGAGCCCAGACACTTCAATAAGGGACACTAATTACATTAATCAGCAGAGGTCCCAAAATTAGGGTGCTGGAGGACGAATTTTTAGGTTCATATAATAGCATACACCCAAACTCTAATGGTATATATACTACAGTATGGTAACCACTGAGTGTTTTAAAGGGCCATTTCTATAGAAGTTCCTTTTTGCTCTTATGCAGAGTGCACAAAATACCACGGGCATTCTGAATGTTAAGCACTGTGATATTCAGCAAGTCTTCTTCATAAAATTAATTAAAAACCAAAAATATTTTCCTTTTTTTCAGATATTAAGGCAGCTCAGTTAGCTCTATTAGTATTGTTGTTCCTCCTGAAAAATTTATAACACAGAACAATGTGGGTTTTAGCCCTTTTGTGCATAGAATATCCTGGGATGGGCCTAGGACGTGAGCTGCAGTTTGTTCTTGCAAATTCTCTGATTCTGTTTTATTTCTGCAAGTGACTAGATACTTTCCACTGTAGTCTTTCTTCCTTTTCTCCATGCCAAGAAGAAAGAACAATGCAGTAGTTGGAAAAAAGAGAAAGATCGTCAGTTTATTTGTAACTGTACCAAATAACGAAATATTTTCAGTTGGAAAATCAAGAATACTCGTCCTTGTTAACACTGCTCACTAAAGAAAATTTAGAGACAAGTTTGTGTTATTAAATAGTTCAATAAGTTTAAATAATTTATATTTTCTCACTTCCCCAATTACAGGACTATTACAACATTTTAGATTTCCCTAATTCAATGGGCATGTTTGATTGGGCCATGTATTTCACGTTTAATAAAGGGCCATAAATTTAATAGAAACTAAGTTGATTTAACTTAACATACGTAGTGGAAATATGATAGATATTATACTATTTTAAATTTGTTTGGTATAACATAAACTCACATCTCCATTAAGCTCCTCTGTATTTTAAGACACATTTACTTTATAAATATGATCTTGACTTACAAAACTTAAGTTACAGTATTGAATGCTAAAGCTATATTTGGGTATTTAAAATGTAAACATGATAAAAATTAATTACTACAGCAACATTTTGCCTACACAGCTGTTATTTTTAATAGATTGCACTACAGAAGAATTAGTGGGCAGGGTAGATAATCAAAATTAAAAGCACGCATTAGAGATGAATGAATTGGATTTAGGGAAATACATTTTGACACAGCAGTTGTTTCTTGTCAGTTCAATGAGTTTTACTTAGGGGATATCACTTCTGGCCATAATCTACATGCTTCAAATGATAATCTGCTTTACACACAATGGCTTTTTGTCTGAATTCATGCAAAGTTTGGTAAGAGCTATACTTCTGATTTTTCATGGTTCATGGCATTTAATAGTGAATTTTAAGACTGTGTTTATAGAATGGCGTGCGTTCAAGAAGACAGAAAAATAAGAGTTTCCTTGCACAGTTAATATATGCTTGTAATGACTTGAGTAATGTCGGATCTCAATTAATTACTTATTTAAAAGGATATGGTCCCATTTTTAGCATATTTATCCAGATCAGAAAGGACAAAGTGTGTCTCAGATTTGAGGTGAGCATATCAGGGCATAATGACTGAATAGCATTTATACATATATTCAAAGAATAATGAAGTCACTGAATATAACAGGAAAGATTTATACCCATACACCAAAGCGGTTATTTCCTTCACTGGAACTCAAAATTTCAGTATTTGTGGGCAGATAGTTACTCTTAGAAAGTTCTGAATAATATACTTTGAACAATAATTTGTTACTGAAAAGTTAAAAGATATTTCCAATTATCAGTAGGTTATTCTCAACAGCTCATTAGCATTGGATTAAAGCAGAAAGGAAATATCACAAAGAAGCAAAATAGATGAATGAAAGCTATATAATTTAGATGTAAAAACTACTCCCTGTTCCTTCTTGTTCAAGCTATTATATGTGGCTCAAGTGTATCCTTGTGGTTCAAGCTATTACAACAATAGAAGCCATCTAGTTTTAGATTTCAACCTTAAAATCTTACTTTGTCCAAATCTATTAGATTCTGAGAAAGTCTTAATGAAACCTGAATGAGACTAGGAAGCCTTTTATTTTTTTTTTTCAGTTGTCATAACCAGATAATATTTATTCAGAAAAAGTTTGGAATATACATCCATGGATATACTGGAAAGTTAATATATCACATATTGAGAGGAAGTAGAGCTATTTTCCCTGATGATATCCCATGCAAATATTCAGCTGAAAGAGGGAAATAGAAGGAAAAAATACTTGCCCTTTACAAAGTCTGGCCCTTGATTAGTACTTCTACGATGGCTTTTGCTGTTTTATTTAATCCTATACATACATGCATGAGGTACAGATAAGTGCAGGAATCTGAATATTAAAACTGAATGCCTTTTAATATCATAATATGTCACAGTCAGCTAACATGAGAAGATTACAGTCAATTGCTTTCCCTTGCTTTGTACCAGTTTCAGAGAAAAGTATTTTTTCAATTCAATTAATACGTCACTCCTGCAGAAATTTTCATTCATTGTTCTCTTGGAAGAATTTGTACCTAACAATTCAAATTGACATAAATCCATAAACATAGCTTTGAGAATCCACCATTTCACTTCAAGTAAAAGGAGAAAGTTCTGAGAGTGAAGGGCCTATTTTATCCTTCATGGGCTGGGGAGGGTAGGATTTTCCCAAGTACCCAAGAGAATTGGATGTTTAGCTGATTTTGATGCTTTTGTTAATTCCATTAATAGACTACCTGACTACTAAGATTTCACAAAGGATGCTTAAGACTGGCTTTTTTTTTCTAGTTCAGTATGGTTTAGAATGGCAGATAACACTTTTTGGTTAACAGCTACAAGACCCCCTGTATTTTCTCCTTTTTACGACATTTAATCGTCATCACTATTTGGTTTGTCCCGGCTTTTCAAATTTTGCAGCTGACTTAGAGTTTATTTGCACTTTTTTTTTTTTTTTTTTAGTTGGATACACAATGAATGATCTCATTTTTGAATGGCAAGAAAAGGGAGCAGTTCAAGTAGCAGAAGGTCTCACTCTGCCACAGTTTCTGTTGAAAGAAGAAAAGGATTTATGTTACTGCACCAAACATTATAATACAGGTAGGAAAGCCTATTAGTGATTAAAACTGGAAAAATATTTAACATTTATTGTTATTTTGGAGAGTTGTGTTGGGTTTTTTTAAATATTGTCACTGAACTCATGAGAAGATTAAAACGTACAGATGCATTGTGCAGGATAATGCAGTCTTAAATAACTGACACGATAAAACAAAATTATATGAAGGCTGATCAAACTTCTATTTCAGTAAGCTTAAGAAAATACATAGTTGAAATAATTCAGAAGCAATTCACCCAGGAGTTCTATTTTTACAGTGGGTGCCATGACCACATCTACACTGTGGGATATGAAGCACTGCTGAAATCCAAAGGTCCATATGCTGTGCACTAAGCATGGCTTGGCTCAGTCAGGAAAAAGGGACACAGGGTTTCCAAGCCAGCTATCCCTGCCCTAGTTCATACAGCAAGGAGGCAATGCAAACAAGCTGAAGGCATCCTTAGTTTACAATGGCCAGGTGTCCAAACTAGACATGACATTTCTGAGTTGAAGCCTTTGTGGAACTGCTATGTTTAGCTCATCATCTCTGGGATTATTTGATAAAGGGGAAAACATTAATAATATAGTTATTTTATTTTTAATTGTAAAAAGAATCTCAATAACTGGAAAATGACAAGCATAGTAATCCTCAAAAAACATGTAGCAAAGGCTAAGTATGCATAACTTCCATCTTCTCATGGGGAAAAAAAGCTAGAAGTCTTTCATTCTAATCCATATCTCTTAATTTCTACTGTCCAATATGATTCTAGACTAGACATATCTTGAAATTTAAGTTTAGAATTATTTATTTGGATTCTGCTGAAATGGCAGAGGGGAGAAAACTCAATAGGTGGCGTTCATAAGGAATGTCCTGTTGCAATCAAAATTAAGGAAGAGTTTTTTTCAACACTGAGTTTTATCACAGCAGCCATGGTACCCTAAGGGAGGGAAAGGTTCTCTAATAATTTCCATTTAGAGTGGGGAAATATTGACAGAAACATTTTGAAGTGTTCCCTAAAATAAATCAGAAATACATAACATACACTTTTACTGTCCAAATATTAATATCTGGCTAATCCTTAAAAACCTTCCAAAAATGGAGATACATATCACATAGCAGGGTAATTTTTTCACTCAAACATCCCTTTGTTAATGATAACAATGAAATTCATATTATTCCTTTTTTCTTTTTACCATAATCCTTATGACAAAGAAGAAAACCTTGTTTTCATTATTTTTCTGTCTCCTTTGAGATATATAGGCAGCCTCTTCTTCCTTTTGAGGACTCCTCTGCTTCTGTGCCATTTTAACATGTGCCTGTAACTGTACTTCTATAACCTGTTTAGTGATGTTAACAAATGAGAATTTGTGGTAGAAAGTATTCTCATTTTTCCAAAGTTCATTTGGACAATATGATGTATCAAAAATCTCTAACTGAGGAATTAAAACACTACTGTGGTACTTAACCTAATATTGAATGGAAACCTGGTTTAAAATGTCAGACTTTCTGGTGATTTCCAAACATCTCATCCAAAGCTGAATTGTACTCTTACTCATTTGTCTGAGAACTTTCATTACAATCATCATAGTTTAAACCTTTTGATTTTGACTGAAACTTCATTTTTTCAATATTTTTGAGCCATCACCTTTTTCTTCATAACCTGTGTTTCAACCCTATTTAAGTTGGTATTAATTTTCTTCCAAGCAGAAATAGAAAAACATGCTAGGCGTAACACGCTAGGTTACATGGGGTCAGCTTACATCTACTGTCTTTTTCACTGTGGCCCTAAACTTATTTGAGAAGCGGAAGCAACAGATATTATTAACTGCATGTGAGGTCTCACGACTCTCAAAATGTGCCTGCAAGACAAGTGCGTTTATCCCTGTGAACTGCTGTCAAATTTAGGTGGGAGAAGGGGTTCACTGTCAACTCTAGAGGACAGCGTAGCCAATCATCAGTCTGTTATATTTCTGTATTGCTTTGGCCAAACTGCATTGTTGTGGCCAAACAGGTGCTCTAAAATGTGAGTGCAACCCACAACCCTGAAAAGATGGCTGAAGTTCATGCCTCTACTCAAAAAAGTCATTGGGCCATTTAATTTGTCTGTAAAAAGTCAAGCCGTTTACTAATACAGAAAACTTGGAAGCCTGCACACAGGCACCCACCATACACTTCAGGATGGAGACTTTAAAAGACCTCAGCAAGCAAGAAGACAATTGCACATCTGTGGGACCTGCCTATGACTGGCAGGGGGGAAAAAAATGCAATGCTGAGTGGCACCGGCTGCAGGCAGAAGGGTATTTCCCCACCAGAGTGGCCTGCTCTGAGTTACAGCACCAAAATTACAGGTACAAATCTGGAAGAACTTTGGCAGGGCAAACCAGAAAGAAAAGATAGTCTTACTCATGCAGGACTACGTTTATTGTGACATTCTCCTCTTTAAGATAACTATTTTCTCCAGTGTATTTATTTTTCTATTCAAGTCTTCAGTATGAAGTTAATTTAATCAAATTAGAGGGGTTTGGTTTGGTTTGTAGGAGGGTGGGAGTGCCTTTCATTTCTTTGTTACAAGTATTGTTAACTACCGTGTGTAGGCTAAAAAACCCTAAACATTATATTAAAAGACAACAACAACAACTAAAAGTTTCTTTTCCTCCATTATGTCATATAATAGAATCATAGAATCATAGAATGGTTTGGGTTGGAAGGGATCTTAAAGACCATCTAGTTCCAACCCCCATGCCATGGGCAGGGACATCTTCCACTAGACCAGGTTGCTCAAAGCCTCATCCAACCTGACGTTGAACGCTTCCAGGGAAGGGGCATCCACAACTTCTCTAGGCAACCTGTTCCAGTGTCTCACCACCCTCACAGTACAGAATTTCTTCCTTATATCTAACCGAAATCTACCCTTTTTCAGTTTAAAACCATTACCCATTGTCCTATCACTACACTCCCTGATAAAGAGTCCCTCCCCATTTTTCCTGTAGGCCTCCTTTAAGTACTGGAAGGCTGCTATAAGGTCTCCCCGGAGCCTTCTCTTCTCTAAGCTAAACAACCCCAACTCTCTCAGCCTGCCCTCATACAGGAGGTGCTCCAGCACCCTGATCAGCTTTGTGGCCATCCTCTGGACCCACTTGACCACGACCATGTCTTTCTTATGTTGGGGGCCCCAGAGCTGAACACAGTACTCCAGGTGGGGTCTCACGAGAGCGGAGTGGAGGGGCAGAATCACCTCCCTTGACCTGCTGGCCACACTTCTTTTGATGCAGCCCAGGATACAATTGGCTTTCTGGGCTTCTAGCGCATGTTGCTGGCTCATACTCAGTTTTTCATCCACCAATACCCCCAAGTCCTTCTTGGCAGGGCTGCTCTCAATCCACTCATCGCCCAGCCTGTATCCATGTTTGGTATTGCCCTGACCCAGGTGCAGGATCTTACACTTGACCTTGTTTACCTTCATGAGGTTTGCACGGGCCCACCTCTCTAGCCTGTCAAGGTCCCTCTGAATTGGCATCCCTTCCCTCTAGAGTATCAGCCGTACCACTCAGCTTGGTGACATCCACAAACTTGCTGAGGGTGCACTCAATCCCATTGTCCATGTCCCCAACAAAGATGTTAAATAATAGTGGTCCCAATACAGACCCCTGAGGGACCCCACTCATCATTGGAATATGTGACCAGTAATATGCTTTCTTAAGGCTCCTGCAGTGAGATACTGTAGACAGATGCCCCTTTAGGATACGCCACAAGAAACAAAAAAAATCATTTTTAAAAACTAGAAATAAAGCTTATTTCTCTAGTCTACAACAGATTAGTTGACAGATTCTTAAAAGAATGCTAAGCAACTGCAGCTGGTATGTAATAAGTGACCAAACAAGAGGTTTCAATTTAAGTTTAGCTGACGGAAAGCTTTTCTTAGACATCCTAAAAAACAGAAAAAAAACCCCAAAAGTCTCCCTGCGAAACAAGTTAACATGAATCTTCAGGACAGTATGTGGAAACTCATCAGTGCATGCCTCATCAGTGTTTCATGCCCAATTGAAAATGGATCACTGTAACCACAGCTTGAAAAACAAACTGCTTCTAAATATAAGGACATAACAGCTTCAGCAACAGTAAAGCATAATGGCTCATCAAGTCTTATGTTCTGAAGTGATGCAACAACATTTCTGATCATTTTCATGGTTATGTGTCCACTGGCATATCTGCAGTGACAAATTTGGGAGGTGAAGTAGAATCATAACAACCAGAAAAATCACACCATGTGAACAATTTACATTACAAGGATGGTCTTGCTTTACCTTGTCCTCATTCACTTCCTATGTCACATGCATTGCTCCTCTGGGCTTTTATGCAACACCCAATTTTAATTTCAATCACAGGTAATTTCAATCACAGCAAAAAGCCAATATACGATAGCACAAATTTATATATAATAGCATTGGCTAACAGACACAGACAGAAATAATCTGAATCTTGGCTTTACTCCTGCACCATGGATAACACACTACACCTGCACTTGAATGATGCTGCTCAGAACTATCTTATGTCTATTGATGGGTGTTGGCTCAAAGTATTGGATGTAGTGGTCCTGGAAACAGTGGAGCTATGGTTGCTACACTCGCCACCAGAACTGATGGGTTCTGTACGTGACTATTTCTGAAAACTCTGTATCCTTAAATCTGAGATCTCAATGAACGGCCAACTTCCTTAACTCCACATTCCCCATTCTACCTCCTAACACATACATCCCAAATACAATCTTTCCTCATGATCGCTTTGGTTCCCCCTTAAAGTCAAACAAGTTGCTTAACAACCTGTAGATTGTACCCTGTCATGGTTTAGCCTCAGTCGGCAACTGAGCACCACACAGCCGCTCGATCACTCTCCCCACTCCTGGTGGAATGGGGAGGAGAATTGGAAGAGTAGAAGTGAGAAAACTCATGGGTTGAGATAAAAACAGTTTAATAATTGAAATAAAATAAAATATAATAATAATAA